TGTGCCTCAGTGTTTGGTTGGAAGTGATTTGTGTGTATCCCTAATTATTTCCCGGCTGTTGCCCAGGGCTGCGTGTCTCGTCTGCTCCAGACGCACCTATCTGGAGAACCCAGGTAGAAAGCAAGGGGGGCTGACAAGATCCGCGTGCCTCAACAGGCTGTGTGTGAGGGAGTGACCACAAGCCGAACCTGGGAGCAGCATGTGTAACACCCTCCTAATTCAGCACCTTCACCACTACACCACGCCGTCTTTCTCTCACAGGTATTTGGACTTATGCTGTAGCCCAACGTTTCTCAACCTGGGCAACTTTAAGATGGGTGGACTTCAACTCCGAGAATTCTGGGAGTTGACGTCCACCCATCTTAAAATTGTCAAGGTTGAGAAACACTGCTCTAGCCAGTGAGTTGGGAACTTCAGGGGTTGGAAATCTCCCCACTTGGGGGAGGCCTCCAGAGCTCATTTGCACCCTCAATCTATGCATGCACCCCAAAGCATCGTGCATGCATAGATTGAAGGTGCAAATGAGCTCAGGAGGCCTCCCCCAAGTGCTTCACTAGCATGCTCGACCATATCAAGGCAAAATTATGTTTTGAGAAGATCATTCTCCTTCGTCCAGAGGATACAGATTCTCAGGCGGATGTTAACCAGATGTGGAGAAACGTTTCTCCAGCAGGGGGCAGCAAGGCCGTCCCCTTCACTCCCCGTTGCTCTTGGAAGCCGCAAAACATGGCCTTTTCTGAGACAGGGAGGAGTAAAACCGGGTTAAGGAAGGCTATTTATGGCCTTCCACGGTTGCACGTGACGTGTCTCCTCCCTTCAGCGTCTGATCAGCTGCTCTGGCGAATTCCCAGCCTGCTGGTTCGCTTCCCGGCAAAAGGTTTGCTTCGTTTTTCTTTAATGGGGACCCGGTGCTGAATGAAACGGCGAATCCAGGGGAGCTCCCCGTTTTCCGCCCCTTTCCCAGTTCCTCTGGACGGGAGATGCCGTGGACCAGGCCTGGGATTTTGGGGTGCAGAGCAGGTCCCCCGCTGCTGAAATCTGACTCTCTCCAC